CTGCATCTCTGTTTTGGTATAAATTTTTTTGTGCCTTTATCATATATTTCACAAAACTTGACATACATCTCATTCACTTCCTTGCCTAGCATCAAGTCTGTCCAATTATACTCACTAAAAAAATTTCTAAGGTCACCATAATGTCCTCTCCTGAAGTCTGGTTTTTCAACTGGTTCAACCTCCTTATTTTCTTCCAGCTTATAACGCATTGCATACTTTATTCCCAAAAAGACATGGTCACTTTTACCCAAGGGAGGAAGGTACTGAATGTCAAATATCTCTTCCTCCTTCCTGGTAAATATCAAATCTAGCATGGAGGGAACGTCCCCTTCCCTCATCCTCGTAGCTTGTTTAACATGTTGATACAAGAATGTTTCCAGGATGAGGTCTACAAATTTATAGGTCCAAAAATCTTCTGTTTTAGCTTCATATGCTTTCCAGTCTATGGATTTCAAGTTAAAGTCACCGACTATCAACAGTCGTGATCTATCGTTATCTGCTCTCGCTATAATCTCTCTCATTATTGTTATAAGACCTTCACATTTACTATCTAGCTCCTCCTTTAACCATGTGCTGCTTGGCGGTGGACTATATGCATTTATTATCATTAGTTTATCATCCTCATGGCAGATCTCTAGTGCTATTATGTCAACTTCTTGTGGATTGGCAGTCATTATTTCGTTCACCTTTAGGTGTTCTTTTACCAGCACAGCAACGCCACTGCCTTTCCTAATTTTTCTGTCCCGTCTCCAAATTGAGTAGCCCCTTGGGAATATGACCTCATTTAAAATTACATCTTCAAGTTTTGTCTCTGTGAGTGCAACAATGTCTGGTGTCTGCAGCTGTATTACATCACTTAACTCCAGTATCTTCGATCTCACTCCATCTATGTTGGTGTATGCAATCTTCAGGAACTTGTTCCCCCTCTCCTTATTCTTCACTCCCCCTCTCTCTATTGATTTTGTTGGTTTGCCTTTATGTACCACTTTACTGGTTTGCCTACCCCTATCACTTTGTAGAAAAAAAAATTTATTTCTTCTTCATTCCTGCTCTCATTTAAATGTTTTGCCTCGGCGAGGTTCAGTTTCAGCTTCTCTCTATCTTCTTTTGAAAGATCTCGTCTTAACGACCACCCTTTCCCATCCTCATCACTTTGCAATTTTCTAGCATTCCTTAGTACTTCTTCCATCTGTTTGGCACCGTTTAGGGTGATCCTCAAAGGTCGATCTTTCCCTTTTACGTACCTGCCTATTCTCCTGTAGTCGCACACATTCTCTATGGTGTATGTGTGTATGTGTGTGTGTGTGTGTGTGTATGTAATTACCTAAGTGTAATTACCTAAGTGCAGTTACAGGATGAGCTACGCTGGTGGTGTCCCGTCTTCCCAGCACTCTTTGTCATATAACGCTTTGAAACTACTGACGGTCTTGGCCTCCACCACCTTCTCACTTAACTTGTTCCAACCATCTTCCACTCTATTTGCGAAGGTGAATTTTCTTATATTTCTTCGGCATCTGTGTTTAGCTAGTTTAAATCTATGCCCTCTTGTTCTTGAAGTTCCAGGTCTCAGGAAATCTTCCCTGTCGATTTTATTAATTCCTGTTACTATTTTGTACGTAGTGATCATATCACCTCTTTTTCTTCTGTCTTCTAGTTTTGGCATATTTAATGCTTCTAACCTCTCCTCGTAGCTCTTGCCCTTCAGTTCTGGGAACCACTTGGTGGCATGTCTTTGCACCTTTTCCAGTTTGTTTATGTGCTTCTTAAGATATGGGCACCACACAACCGCTGCATATTCCAGCTTTGGTCTAACAAAAGTCGTGAACAATTTCTTTAGTATTTCTCTATCCATGTATTTAAAAGCAATTTTGAAGTTAGAAAGTGTAGCATAGGCTCCTCACACAATGTTCTTAATGTGATCCTCAGGTGACAGTTTTCTATCTAGAATCACCCCTAGATCCCTTTCTTTATGAGAATTCTTTAAAGATTTCTCACATAATTTATAGGTTGTGTGGGGTCTATGTTCTCCTATTCCACATTCCATAACATGGCATTTATTCACTTTAAATTCCATTTGCCAAGTGGTGCTCCATATACTTATTTTGTCCCGGTCTTCTTGAAGGGCATGACAATCATCTAGGTTTCATATCTTTTTTATGTCCAGATAGATGCAGTCAACCCAACCATCTTTTTCCTGTAAAATCTCTGTGGCTCGATCATAGAAACTTAGTAAGTTCGTTACACAGGATCTTCCAGATCAAAAACCATACTGCCTGTCTGATATTATATCGTTTTTCTCCAGGTGCTATGTTCTACCCATTTAGTTTTAATTATTTTTTCCAATATTTTGACTATTACACTTGTCAATGATACAGGTCTATAATTGAGGGGTCTTCCCTGCTGCCACTTTTGTAGATTGGAACGATGTTAGCCTTTTTCCACACATCAGCTACAACTCCTTTACACAGGGATGCCTGAAAAATCAGTTGAAGTGAACTAGTTGATTTCTTGCCTTTTTCCAGTCCTGAAAGTTTTCCACCTTTTTCCAGTCCTGAAATAGGATTGTGCAGATCTCCAGTACATTATGGATTTGTCCCATCTCAACTAGTTGATTTCTTGCCTCACTTTTCGGATGACTACTTTGTTCTCGTTAATGAGCTAGGCGCTTGGATGATTTCCCAGGACCTCAAGGATGCCTATTGGCACATCCCCATTCATCCAGCATTCAGGGATTGGTTAGGTTTTGTCATGGGGCAACAGGCTTACTGCTTCTGGGCTCTTCTGTTTGGGCTGTATCTGGCACCATGCATTTTTACTTGCTTGACTTGGGTTGTAGTGGTCAGTCTTCATTTGTTATGACTGAGGGTGTTGGCCCTCGATGACTGGCTGGTTTGGGTTCCCACTCGGTCGGTTTTTGTCTGCTAGCCAGGAATCTGGTTCTTTCCCAGCTGTCTAGCTTCAGGTTCCTGGTGAATTGGAGGAAGTCCCAGTTGGTTCCGTCCCAGGTTTAGACCTGGTTGGGCTTAACTTGGGATTCTCAGTTGGCATCACTTTCCCTGTCTTCTACAGCCTTGCTCTGGCTGCAGTTCTGCTGTCTACTGCTGCTGAGGGGGGACTCGGGTTACTCGGCAGATGCTCAAGCAGCTGTGCAGGAGTCTGAACTTTGCCCTTCTGGTTTACCCTTTGGGCAGGGTTTGGCTTTGGAGGCTGTTCTGGTTCCTTCAGGGAAGCCCTTTTCGCCACTCTCACAATCACTGGGTTCGGATCTCGGTGTCCCTGTGCCAGTTGCTGCATCCATTGGCTTCCTATTCGGGTTTTTCGAGGTTCGGAAACTCATTCCAGAGTAAGTAGCACTCTGGAATATCAAATAGGTATTTGTTTCTAGTTTAGTGCCCATGGGTTCTGTTACAACATTCTAGGAATCATGATGCCTTCCTCCTCCCTCGCTTGATGTGTGTTCACGAATGCCTCGGTTGTTGGTTGGGGCTTTGTGACCGCTGTTCACAGTCCAGCCAGGGTCGTTGGCAGGTGCTGAAAAGAGCTCTGGTTCCTCCAGACTTGGTGATCCAGCTCTATTCAGATTGTTCTCCCGTGGTTCATTGTCTCAAACTGTGGAGGGTCTCTTCATTTTGTGGGGCTGGTCGTTTCGGGTAGGTCGTCTGTTGAGTTCTCATGGTTTATATTTCCGTGGCGTTCATGTTCAGGGTGTGTCTAATGTCTTGACCGATGGTGTCTCGCTTCGTTCCTCTTTCCATGCAATGGACCATCGACGCTGATTCCCTCCTCTGGCTTGCTGGATGTTCGAGCACCTGGACATCAACTTCTTTGCGATAATGTGGTCTCAGCATCTGCCTCTTTACGCGGTGCTGTTCCCCAACTGCAAGGCTCTTGTGGTGGATGCCTTTTGGCTGCACTGGTAGAGATGGGGGTGAATTTACTTCTTTCCCCCGATCTGGCTGTTGTTCCAGGTGCTGGAGTGTCTGGAGTCTTATGGGGGGGGGGGAGAGTGATTCTTCTCGCTCCTTGGTGGCTGGCCCAGCCTTGGTTTCAGGCACTGTTTGCTCGTTGTCTGAACCCAGGTGATTTTACCTGGTTCTGCCTCGATCAGAGGGTTGGGCAGGAACCTTGCTGGTTCAACCTTCTCTTCTGCTTTTTGCACCTGGAATTTTGACATGTCTTTATTGCTATTTCTGTGATGATTAGGTGACTGGTTTGTTGGTGTCCCACCTGTGGCCTTCACAACAGCAGTATGAGATATCTTGGCGTATTTTTGTCATTGTCTCTCCCTTCATCGTCATCTTTCTGTTTCAGACTGGGTTGTTCTGTGCTTTCTTGGCTTTTCCTTTTCCTTTCTTCCTTTTCCATCTTATGCCTAATACTGTCGCTTTTTATCGTGCTGCGTTAGTGGAGCTATTTTTGCTTGCGTTTGGGGTGGACATAAGTTCGGCCTCGTTTTCCAAGCGTTCTCGCTCTTTGTTTTGCCTCCGGCCCGCTCATGCGTCTCGCACCATCGTTTTTCTCCTTATATGGCTATAGAACAGCTTTGGGGTTTCCTTAGCTTTCTGCTCCATAATTGGTGTGGAAGGCTGGTGGGAGCTGGGAACTCCATACCCCCATCCTCTAACTGGTAAGGTGGGGGTAGTGCTTATGAGCCTGGACTAGTTTCAAGAGATTTGTTTACTTTGTTGGAGAGTTCCTTTGGTAGTTTTGAGACTTCGGTGTCTTGAAATCCAGCAGTGGTTTGTATTGGTTCGCTGACTTTCTTGATGCTTTCCTGGTTGGGTGGCAGTGTTGCCTGCTGTCTGCACCTCTGTGAGGAAGGGGAGGGGAGAGGGGGGGCAGGTTTTCACTCTTAGTCCCTGGTAGGCCAAACAGAGATCTATGACTTGATGTGACCTACAGTAGTAGTTGGGAGCAATCTCAGCAAAATAGCATCAAGGAGCCACTGGGGCTCACCTAAAAAGGGGCATTTCATTACATTCAATGCTGTTTTTTTTCAGTTCACAAAAGAACTCATACTGGGGAAAGACCATTCGAGTGTTCAAAATGTTCCTCTAGATTTACAACACGTGGTAATCTTGCACGCCACATAGCAAGCCATGATGGAGAAAAACCTTGGCAGTGTGCAATATGTGGTAAAAGATATACTGAAAAGAAATCCCTCAAGGTTCATATGCGTACTCATACTGGAGAGAAGCCCTATGCGTAAGTTTATCCAAAATAGTTTTAGTTTTAGTGTGTTAAAAGTTACATGCTAAAATGTTAATACTGTTTAGTATTTTATTTAATTTGCATTTTTATTGACTAGATATCTCATGAGAAATGATAGCATGGTATTTATTTTATCATCTTTAATGTCAGTAATTAAAAGTCAGAATAATGTTTTATATTTGTAAATAGTTTCTATAGGCCATATAGATTTTTTATTTTTGCAGCCTTTTGCACTTTTGAGATGCTGATAGTCCAACATATACCTTTTTCCTAGGTGCACACAATGCCCCAAAAGATTTTCGCAGTCAGGAATCCTTCAGGCACATATGTTGATCCACACAGACCAATTTGCTCATTTATGTGATGTTTGTGGAAGATCCTTCAGACAGCGCTCACAGTTAATTACACATCATCTGCGCCATGAAGGAGTTCGCCCATTTCCTTGTCCGGATTGTGAGAGGAGATTTACTACAAAAGGTAATTAAACTTGTCTATGGCCATCATGGGTGCATGCAAATGTTGACGTGCACAAAGAAAACTGGAATGAAATAGACAGGGGTGTGTGGAGAGCAAATTTGGGTTGTGGAAGATCGGTCTGCAGCCATGTTGTTGGATTGCACTTTGTCGTTCCAGATTCTACAGCCCTTCGCTAAACTGGTTGGCATGGCTGCTGATCTTCCATTGTTTCCTAGGGAAGCCCCTTTGGTGGCTCCCTGAAGCTGATGTAACTTTTCAATACTTAAGATAAGATAAGATATTTATTGAGGTAAAGGTACATGAATTGAAAATGAGTTACAAACATAATGTCGGATTAATAGATAGAGCTAGTACATACAGTGCTTCCTCAGACTAACGAACCCCGCTCTATCGAATTCCCGGAAGAGCCGAACAAATTGAATTCGGTACCAAATGTTCAGTGGAACATACAAATGCTCGATTAAGTGAGGAATGTTCGTCCAAGCGGTCACCGAGGCCGAGCGTCAGAGCTGGCTGTCATCAACTATGATTCGCCAGAGTGTAAACAGTTATGTAGTGTTTTATTATCCCTACGCATTGTTTCTAGGGAGAAATGGTGATAAAAATGGTGATAAAATGGTGTCAGGGGGGCATTGGTGAGAGAGTTGTTGTCAGGAGGCAACACGTGCTCCCCCGCCCCCACCCTCCTTCCTCCACCTGACCACAGAGACCACTCACTCTCCTCTCATCGTCAGATGCCAAGAGTCAATTTAATGATAATTATCGCATTATCTACACTGAAAATAGCCTTTTTATTAGAAAAATGTCATATTGGAGCAATAATAATGGTGAAAATTGTAATATATACAGTACATATTTTAAACAGTTTGAACACATTTCCTTTTCACAGAATTTTTAATACAATTGGGGTGTAGATAACAGTTGGCATTGTGTGGCCGGCCGGTCGCTCCCTGAGCCATTGGGGGGGTGGGGGTGGGAGGGGGGGGTTGTTTCCTGGATCCCTCCCTCCCTCCTTCCCTCTAACAGCCTACGTACTGTACTAATACCTATTTAGAATAAATTTTGAGGAGGCCAATAAAACAAGCACAGGTCGTGTGAACGTTAGGCCTTGGTGAGGTGGCTGGCATCATTTGTGGCAGTGTCAGGGGAGGCAGGCGGTGTCAGGGGAGGCAGGCGGTGTCAGGGGAGGCAGGCGGTGTCAGGGGAGGCAGGCGGTGTCAGGGGAGGCAGGCGGTGTCAGGGGAGGCAGGCGGTGTCAGGGGAGGCAGGCGGTGTCAGGGGAGGCAGGCAGTGTCAGGGGAGGCAGGCGGTGTCAGGGGAGGCAGGCGGTGTCAGGGGAGGCAGGCGGTGTCAGGGGAGGCAGGTGGTGTCAGGGGAGGCAGGCGGTGTCAGGGGAGGCAGGTGGTGTCATGGGAGGCAGGTGGTGTCAGGGGAGGCAGGCGGTGTCAGGGGAGGCAGGCGGTGTCAGGGGAGGCACATGGGGTCAGGGGAGGCAGGTGGTGTCAAGGGAGGCAGGTGGGGTCAGGGGAGGCAGGTGGGGTCAGGGGAGGCAGGTGGGGTCAGGGGAGGCAGGTGGGGTCAGAGGAGGCAGGCAGTGTCATGGGAGGCAGGTGGGGTCAGGGGAGGCAGGTGGTGTCAGGGGAGGTAGGTGGTGTCAGGGGAGGCAGGTGGGGTCAAGGGAGGCAGGTGGGGTCAGGGGAGGCAGGCGGTGTCAGGGGAGGCAGGTGGTGTCAGGGGAGGCAGGCGGTGTCAGGGGAGGCAGGTGGTGTCATGGGAGGCAGGTGGGGTAGGGGAGGCAGGTGGGGTCAGGGGAGGCAGGCGGTGTCAGGGGAGGCAGGCGGTGTCAGGGGAGGCAGGTGGTGTCAGGGGAGGCACATGGGGTCAGGGGAGGCAGGTGGTGTCAAGGGAGGCAGGTGGGGTCAGGGGAGGGAGGTGGGGTCAGGGGAGGCAGGTGGGGTCAGGGGAGGCAGGTGGGGTCAGGGGAGGCAGGTGGGGTCAGGGGAGGCAGGTGGGGTCAGAGGAGGCAGGCGGTGTCATGGGAGGCAGGTGGGGTCAGGGGAGGCAGGTGGTGTCAGGGGAGGCAGGTGGTGTCAGGGGAGGCAGGTGGGGTCAAGGGAGGCAGGTGGGGTCAAGGGAGGCAGGTGGGGTCAGGGGAGGCAGGCGGTGTCAGGGGAGGCAGGTGGTGGAAAGAGGCAGGTGGTGTCAGGGGAGGCAGGCGGTGTCAGGGGAGGCAGGTGGTGTCATGGGAGGCAGGTGGGGTCAGGGGAGGCAGGTGGGGTCAGGGGAGGCAGGTGGGGTCAGGGGAGGCAGGCGGTGTCAGGGGAGGCAGGCGGTGTCAGGGGAGGCAGGTGGTGTCAGGGGAGGCACATGGGGTCAGGGGAGGCAGGTGGTGTCAAGGGAGGCAGGTGGGGTCAGGGGAGGGAGGTGGGGTCAGGGGAGGCAGGTGGGGTCAGGGGAGGCAGGTGGGGTCAGGGGAGGCAGGTGGGGTCAGAGGAGGCAGGCGGTGTCATGGGAGGCAGGTGGGGTCAGGGGAGGCAGGTGGTGTCAGGGGAGGCAGGTGGTGTCAGGGGAGGCAGGTGGGGTCAAGGGAGGCAGGTGGGGTCAAGGGAGGCAGGTGGGGTCAGGGGAGGCAGGTGGGGTCAGGGGAGGCAGGCGGTGTCAGGGGAGGCAGGTGGGGTCAGGGGAGGCAGGTGGTGGAAAGAGGCAGGTGGTGTCAGGGGAGGCAGGTGGGGTCAGGGTAGGCAGGTGGGGTCAGGGTAGGCAGGTGGGGTCAGGGGAGGCAGGTGGGGTCAGGGGAGGCAGGCGGTGTCAGGGGAGGCAGGTGGTGGAAAGAGGCAGGTGGGGTCATTGGTGGAAGGTGTTGTCAGGGAAGGTGGAAGTGGAGAGAGAAGGGTGGTGACCACGCATGGCTGCCAAACCTCTCATTCATACTCTATTATAAATCTCAATCTTAGCTGTAAAATATTTATGCCAAAATATGTTAATTTTCGTGTATTAATATACATTATAGTGGTGTGGTGTGGTTTGGGTGTGGGTGGGTTGGTGTGGTTGGGTGTGGGTGGTGTGGGGGGATGATGTGGGTGGTGTGGGGTGTGTGGGGGATGATGTGGGTGGTGGTGTGGGGTGTGTGGGTGGTGGTGTGGGGAGTGTGGGTGGTGGGGGCGAATGGTGTTAGTGGTGTTGGGGATGGTGTGGGGGATGGTGTGGGTGGGGTGGGGGATGGTGTGGGTGGTGTGGATGGTGTGGGGGATGATGTGGGTGGTGTGGGGTGTGTGGGGGATGGTGTGGGTGGTGTGGAGGATGGTGTGGGTGGTGTGGAGGATGGTGTGGGTGGTGTGGGGGATGGTGTGGGGGATGGTGTGGAGGATGGTGAGTGTGGTGTGGGGGATGGTGTGGGTGGTGTGGGGGATGGTATGGGTGGTGTGGGGGATGGTGTGGGTGGTGTGGGGGATGGTGTTAGGTTAGGTTAGGTTAGGTAGGTTAGGTAGTCGAAAAAGCATTAGTTCATGAAAACTTGGCTTATTAGGCAAATCGGGCCTTGCATAGTAGGCTGAGAAGTGCATTCTGGCTACTAGGTACGACATATATATATATATATATATATATATATATATATATATATATATATATATGTCGTACCTAGTAGCCAGAACTCACTTCTCAGCCTACTATGCGAGGCCCGATTTGCCTAATAAGCCAAGTTTTACTGAATTAATATATTTTCTCTAATTTTTTTCTTATGAAATGATAAAGCTACCCATTTCATTATGTATGAGGTCAATTTTTTTTTATTGGAGTTAAAATTAACGTAGATATATGACCGAACCTAACCAACCCTACCTAACCTAACCTAACCTATCTCTATAGGTTAGGTTAGGTTAGGTAGCCGAAAACGTTAGGTTAGGTTAGGTTAGGTAGGTTAGGTTGTCGAAAAAACATTAATTCATGAAAACTAGGCTTATTAGGCAAATCAGGCCTTGCATAGTAGGCTGAGAAGTGAGTTCTGGCTACTAGGTACGACATATATATATATATATATATATATATATATATATATATATATATACATATATATATGTATATAATATATACATTAATATATACATATATATATATATTAGTATATTTTGGTAGCAGTCTTTCCTGTAGACATATATTATTAAATATGACCGAAAAAGTAAGATTAATAATTCTAACACGAATTTTCTCAATCTTTCGTACATTACGCTTCACTGTTGGAGGTAAATCAAAAATCAATTCTCCAAAATTCATTTTTATTTCTAGTCTGACGCGACACGGGCGCGTTTCGTAAAACTTATTACATTTTCAAAGACTTTAGTTCACAAATACACAACTGATTAGAACTTACGTATCTCCGATTTTATATCTACATTTGAGTGAGGTGGGAGGGGTGATGTGGCATTAACACAAGACAGAACAAGAGGGGATATTAATAGGGTATTAAAAGTATCAACACAAGACAGAACAGAAACAATGGGTATTGAATAGAAGTGTTTGTAGAAAGCCTATTGGTCCATATTTCTTGATGCTTCTATATTGGAGCGGAGTCTTGAGGTGGGTAGAATATAGTTGTGCAATAATTGGCTGTTGATTGCTGGTGTTGACTTCTTGATGTGTAGTGCCTCGCAAACGTCAAGCCGCCTGCTATCGCTGTATCTATCGATGATTTCTGTGTTGTTTACTAGGATTTCTCTGGCGATGGTTTGGTTGTGGGAAGAGATTATATGTTCCTTAATGGAGCCCTGTTGCTTATGCATCGTTAAACGCCTAGAAAGAGATGTTGTTGTCTTGCCTATATACTGGGTTTTTTGGAGCTTACAGTCCCCAAGTGGGCATTTGAAGGCATAGACGACGTTAGTCTCTTTTAAAGCGTTCTGTTTTGTGTCTGGAGAGTTTCTCATGAGTAGGCTGGCCGTTTTTCTGGTTTTATAGTAAATCGTCAGTTGTATCCTCTGATTTTTGTCTGTAGGGATAACGTT